CTGCGGGCTCTAAATCACCCCTTGCTTTGTGGAAACTGCTTGCGCATGAGCCAAACTCCTCCTCTCCCTCTGTCTCCTTCTCTCTTGGAGGCTTGCGTTTCTCACCCTCTTTTTGTCTCTTTGTCTGTGTGTCTCTTTCTGCCTCCCTCTGCCTCTGTCTGCCTCTGTCTGCCGCTGTCTGCGTCTGTCTCTCGGTCTCTATCTCGGTTTCTACCTCTGTCTGTCTCTCTCTGTTGATCCCTGCAAGTCTGTCTCTGTCCTTTTGTCTCTGTCTGTTTCTCTCTGCCTCCCTCTGCTTCTCGCTGCCTCTCTCTGCCTCTCCGCGCATCTGTCTCTCTGTCTCTGTCTCTGTTTCTGCCTCTGTCTGTCTCTCTGTGTCTCTGTCTCTGCCTCTAGCTGTGTGTTTCTCTGTCTCTCTCTGTCTCTGTCTCTGCCTCTAGCTGTGTGTTTCTCTGTCTCTCTCTGTCTCTTCTGTCTGTGTCTTTGTCTCTGTCTCTAGCTCTGTGTGTTTCTCTGTCTCCCTCTTTCTCTCTCTGTCTCTCTCTCTGTCTCTCTCTGTCTCTCTCTGTCTGTTCTCTCTGTGGCTCTGTCTCTCTGTCTGTTCTGTCTCTCTCTGTTTGGTTATCTCTTTCTGCCTCTTTGCCTTCGTCCCTGTCTCTCTCTGTCTCTCTCTGTCTCTCTCTGTCTCTCTCTGTCTCTGGCTCTGTCTCTCCTCTGTCTCTCTCTGTCTCTGGCGCTGTCTCTCTCTGTTTGACTCTCTCTCTCTGTGCCTGTTTGTCTCTGTTCCTCTCTGTCCCTCTCTGTCTCTCTGTGTCTCTGTGTCTCTGTGTCTCGCTGTCTCTTTCTCGTTATGTCTATCACTGTCTCCGTCTGTCTCAGTCTGTCTCTATCTCTGAACTACCGGTAGCGCATGTGTCCCTCCTCTGTCCGTCTAGGGGCTCTACCTGTCTGGTTGGGTGTCTCTCAAGCTGTCTGTATCTCTCCGTTTTGTCGTGCCCCCTATCACCCCTCTCTCTGTGTCTGTGGCCCGTTGTTCGTTGTCGTTGTGAATTCTGTCCTGAATATATTTTCTTTTGTCGGTTTTTGTCATTCGTTTGCCTTTCATCTTTTCTACTCCCATAATGAATAGGTCATGTGGTGAAATCGAATGCGTATTCCGGGCCTGGGGGGTCGAGAAAAGTTGGTAGGGAGAGCGAGAAAGTGGAGGGGGAAGCGGGAAGACGAAGGGAGACTGTGTGAATATGTACAGGCAGATGAAGGGAGAAAAATGGATGAGTTTGCAGAGAACGAGGGAAGGGAGGAGAGTAAGAGAGAGGGAGAGAAGAGGCAGTGCTTGCGGAAAGAGAGAGGGAGGAGAGAGGAAGGTGACTGAAGAAAGGTAGAAGGATGGAGAGGCAGTGCATTGGGAGAAGAGGTGGGGAAGAAGGAGAGAGGTGAATGTGTGTCTGTGCGGAGAGAGAGAGAGAGAGAGAGAGAGAGAGAGAGAGAGAGAGAGAGAGAGAGAGAGAGAGAGAG